CCGATTTTTTAGCACTTCCGTCCCTCATGCGCAGACTCAAACAGAGCTTGACTACGTAGATGTGACGAGAGCAAACCGTTTGTCTTCTGCTGTTTCATGAGAAATCGGAATCATTCCCTTCCGAAACAGAGGCGGAGAGTGTGAATAGGAGCTGTCCATGAGCTAGGAGAAGGAGACCATTTTGCTAGGTATTCTGATTAATTATTTTGTCATTTTGCCTCCACGTTTCCCTGATTGCGCGCAAGCTTCTCCTCCTGTCCAGACAGTAATCTCTCTACTGTGCGACAGAGAGTCGCGTGGGTATGACGCAATCGTTAGCCTACTTTCACTAAAACCAGAGAATGTCTAATTGAAGAGAATTGACACTGGCTGGTTACTTCCGGGTTCTGGACTGGCTGCAGTAACACGTCTCTGTCCATGCGGGGGTGCTCGTGGTCGAGTGCAGAATGAATGGGAGTCAATGGGGTTTCACCCCCAGAAATCCACTTTTCTCAGGATGTAATTTTTTGTCAAGTAATTTGAAAGTTGCATTCAAAAGGGAGGGCTAAGATAATACTCTCAGCTGAAAATTGCATTTTTAAGTTCACTTATCTGTTCTAAAAATCCGTTCAAAAATGTGATGACGTCACACAATAGCAGAATGCTAGCGTGTTCCGGCCAACAACGGCCTAACCTGTAAGACATTGAAAGGACATAAGTACTTGTTCATTCGACTTTTGGCCTATAATCTATATTGAACTTGTGGAATCAACAATAAAATCTATGTTAATTTAACGACAAGCAGGTGAAAGAGACACATTTAGCCGTTTAGCCCCATAGACTCCCATTCATTCTGCTCTCGCCCGCGATCACCTCCAGTGGATTTCTAATGGAACTGCAACCAGGATGATACACAACGGGGCTAATAGGAAGTGCCAAGGCTCTCCGTTAGACGGGCTCTGCTAAAACTGCTTATATGGGGCCATAACATAAGCTACAAGGTAATGGAGCTATTTATACATTGTCGTGTTTCTTTAGAAATAAATAAAGGACAAATGGAGTCTTCAAACGCCTCAGATGTAAAGTTATTCGCTGTCAAAGTGACGCCAAAATGAATGGGAGTCAATGGGAATGCTAACGCAAGTGAAGTTCTGCTACAAGATGTCAGCTCCCGCGAGGCTTCAACTTCCGGTCGATGGATTACCCCTTGGACAGGATGCACGCAGCACGCGACAGAGCCGTCCATTAAAGATGATGTGTATGAGTTGCCCAGTGGAAAATACCACATGAGGGGGTGTTCATGTGCATTTTCCACGTCTGCTTTTGGTATTTACCATAATTGCCATAGCACATGAACGCACCATAAATGCCCACTGCTGTGAGTGGATAACAGTTTTGCATATTATAATGAGTTTTTCAACTTACCTCGTCAGTGTACGTGGGGAAAACTGTTTTGAAAACTTCCAATGTTGTAAAATGGCAACCGGAATGATTCGCCTATACAGGTTCGACCCAGAGTCTGTGTGTTGCACAATTCCTGTCAGATCCAGACGGCACAGCACTGTTCTTTACTCCTAATCGGTCTGCAAATCCAGTCTTCTTTACAACACAATCCTTAGCGAAATGAAGCGAACAGATGGTTTTACCCTCATCAGCTGGAGTGGAGCGTCATTAAAAATAAAGTTTATCCATGCAGTCCTATTGGAATCCAGACAGAGGAAGCATATGCAGCGACTGTCTTCCACAACCAGGCACTGCACAATATTTTGTATTGCTCGGTAGCTCGATCTGGGTTGTCATCACTAGGTAGGCCTATGTTGGCTATGTTAACGCCTGTCTATGGAAAGCCTGTTCACTCTCTATTAAAGGTGCCATCTGTAAAAATTGAGGTTAAAATATCCCAAAAATGAGCTACACGCATCAAAAGAATGAGAAGAAATAAGGTTGATTATGTCATTAAAAAAATGACAAGTTATAGTGCGGCCGAGATATTACAGTAACCTGAATTAGCATGCTAAATTACTAGCCCCGGCCCGGCAGGTGTCGTAATACCAGTTTCGGCCATGGGAGGCGGTATGCAGATCCAGATCCAACTCCTCCCACCTTAGAGGGAATGCATTGGCGTCACTTTCCCGCCTGAACAACCCCCCTCAGCCTGACTGAGTGGCAAAAGATCTGCTGCATGACTGGATTTAATAGGGAAAACTGCGAAAATGCGACAAAAAAGAACAATTTTACTTAACTTACTAAAGATCCAGTGATCCATGGATACTGACATGCAGCCAGGAATCGTATAGCCTGACATTTATGTTTGTTTGATTTCGACACCGGCAAAATAAAAGCAATATAGACCTAAACATAAAGCAAATTTGCCTGTGAACGTCTAAATCAGGGTATAATCACTTATATCAGTGTTATATATAGCCCATATATCATCATGTCGTCCAGCCCTAAAACTTTATAGTTTTTATTTGGTCAATGTTTATTAAAAAACATCCAATAATGCAGAATAAGCAATGATAAATATTTAATTGATGAGATGTTAATATATATAACAAAACAAAATATATGGGTATGGTTTTACACCTAAATTCAGCATATTGACACAAAATAATAACTGCAAATAATAACTGATTTAATAGCTATTCAATCAATATAAATGGACCAAGTGTAACTACCCACAGAGAGATCATTAGGAGTGTGTGTGTGTGTGTGTGTGCGTGCATGCTTTTATGAGCATCCATGCCTGTAATCTGTTTACTAGTGTGCACATTTGTGAATACATGTGTACACATTGTGTATGAAAGTTTATGCCCTTTTCTACCCTTACTCTATGCACATTTTCACATGCATACAGCATCATGGCAGTTTGCCTCGTGCCGCTGAGATCTCCACCTGTTTGAATAGACATGATGTCACATTGAATGTCCTGCATGCTTTTGAACACATTAGGCCTTTTTGCATAATAGGGTGGGTTATGCAAGATTATGACAAGGGTAAATGCACTCATCCCCGTGTGGTAATGGAGAGATCTATGTATACGCAATACAAAGAGTTTCTTTGTCACAGAATCATTTGGAGTAACAACAGTCATTCACAAGAAAGGTTCACTTGACCAATTCAATCAAATACAAAAGCTTTGTATTTATGTACTGCCTTTGATAACATAGCTGTCAATAAGCAGCTTGATTCATTGCAGGATCAAGCCCTGTAAGACAAAAGAGAGAAGGAAAATAAGGCGTATTACTATATGCCTAAAAAAATAACAAAAAATATAATGTTGTATGAGGGAATGACTTTTGTTTCCTGAACTTAAGAATCCATTTGCATTGACAAGAAACAACATTGTGGCATCTTGAAACACCAAATTTGTGGTCATTTGTATTCTTATGGCTGATTTCAGGCTTTGCCTACACATTAGAGAACAGATATTTTGCTCAGTGGGACATTGATAGTTAAAGCCTACATTTCGCTCAATAGATCAAACAACAGGCACACTGTGTCAGTGTGAATCTGTTGTTCCAGACATCTTTTGAAAAGAAGCTTGTGATGATCTCAGACACAAGTATCGTCATCCAGTTCACCATTAACCTGATTTTGTATACAGTTTTTATACAGAACAACTACAAAGAGTATATATCATCTTGCTTATGTACACAAAACATCCATTCCCACGATACAACATGTACACGAACAAGAGTAGCACAACAGATAAATGACAAAGTGGATGGCTGGTAGATTGAAGGATAGTTTCAGCTGCCAGAAAGTGAACTAAAGAACGTCAGAGGCTTTGAAGTTAAGCCTTCAGGTATCATTACTGTTCTTTCCCACCTCAAGCTTTAGAGAAAACAGCCCTGTCCTTAAATCACACCTCAAACCCTCCTAGTCTTACATAAATATCCCCAAGGAACAAAGTCAGTCAAATTAATATCTGGCACTTAGCTTTTGCAATTATATTCATAAGGTATGAACTAGGAAGAAGACTGGTAAGAGCAGGTCTGGGCCTGTACAGTTTCCTTGGGTTTGGGGTGAAATGAAACTGGATGAAATGTAGATGAACGGGGTAACAACTGAAAGTGCTGCAGCTTCTGTATGACACCTAACCTTTCAAATAATTAAACTGTAGTATTTTAGTATTTGATTGTCCAATGACCAAATACAAGCAAAATATTGGTAAATATTATTCATTCTTGTCATTTACTCGACCTTATGTTGTTTCAAACCTGTATTTTTTTCTTTCTTCCATGGAAAACAAAAGTATGGAGCCCTGCAGATGACATGAGGAAAATAAATCAATAGTTCCCACGACATATTTGTGGCCATTTTTTATTAATTCGTTTTGGAACCTATGTTGGCTTTCCAAAACGACCAAAAAACAATTGAAATATTTTTAAAAGATCTTTGATGTTCCGCAGGAGAAAGGAAGTCATACAGATTTGAAACAATTTTAAGGTGTTTGAATGATGACAGAATTTTATTTTTGGATGACCTAAACGCTGTATTGGTAATTGACACTTTTAAACACCTTGTCTGTAAACCGTGGCAGCACACTTCTTCCCACTTGCAAGATAGCATTCCCATCTGGTCGCTCCAGTTGATGAGCTTTAAAAGGCTTTCTGATCCATCCTGATTCGGATATACTTGGAATTGCAATATCTTCATAAATAAGACCTCAAAAAGACAAGAAGACTTACTTTGGGGATGACACTTAAAACTAAACCTTGAGGGCACTGAAGATGAGGCTAAACTTTTCGTGGTGCACAGACAGCTGATATGGATTCTGCATGCTTCTGAGCTGACCTATGGCATTTTGTCAAGGTTAGTCAGCAAATCATCAAGAGTAAGTGTTCCTCAGCCTTCACCCTTCCCTTAGGGCAGCCAGGTCACATCATGCACATACTTATGCACTTGTTTTGCTGTTCGAATGCATTCCAAAAGCTATCGACGTATAATAAACTATTTTAGATTAGGATACATGCAGTAAAACAAGCTTTTAAAAAAAGTGAATCAGGACAACTTTAGAAGCTTCCATTGACTTTACTTAAAAAAGAGACAACATTTTTTGGTACATAGCATCTACATACATAAGCAGAACCACTAAAAAAGATAATATACAAAAATTGCAGGTTGTGCATGTAATCTCTCATTGGGACTGGTTTTTATGGGTTTCATTTCAAAATAAATAATGCCTTGATACAGTGCCATTACTTAAAGAAAATGTTTGGTGGCTCAATTTGCAAGACTGGTCATACTAGGGTGAATTACAACATCTTATTTAGACTTTTCATACATATTCAAGTATTTTTTTTCCAAGCAAAAGCACTGGAATACTACAATGATGAAAATATGCTTATATGTGTAAAATACTGTCTTAATAACAGTGTAGACAATTCGCAAAGATAAAATGGCAGACTGGAAACAGGAATCTTAAGGTCCAGTAAGTGACACCTCGAAACTGCTCTTGCCCAAAGTCCAAGATGACTTGATTGTAGATGTCCTCAGCTTCAATATTTTGTGACGTTTCCTGCCTTCCATTGCAATACTATATTGTTTAATAGTAAAGGCTTCACCTTCATCCTCCAGGGCACAGAATATGGATCTTGAACAGCCAAGAATGGAAACAGTTTTTCCTGTTTGGGATCATCTCCAAACAATCAGAGTTACTTAATTGTCTTTTGAATACAATCTTTTTTTTTTCTTTATTTCCTAAAACGGAAAAACTCCTTAGCAAACTCCGTGTGTGTCCTTGCAAAGTTAGCACCATAACGTTATCATATTTAGCAGTCCTCAAAAAAAATAGTGCTGTTAACATCAGTCCTTGGCTTTGCACAGCCAGACAACATTTTCCTTACTTCTGTCTATATGCCAAAGGTGTGGCACTTTAAAGGTGCAGGTAAAGGACTCTAATCTCGATAATTTCGTTCCTTAAAATATGACATTCACAATCAAGCAAAGCAAGATTCTGGCAACTTCCTCAGCATCAGTTCTGGGCATCCCCATGATATTCACCAAGACTGCATTCATCTCTCCTGTCGCATTACATTCACTTTCAACGTTAACTTCTTGCATTTCGAATGCTGATAATACACAGTGTTCATAATCTGGATTTGACAAAGACGGTGGCTGAGTGGTGTGATTCATGAAAAAAGTGCCTCTACTGACCAAAACTTGGCTATAATCCCTTGTTTGTTGCCATTTAGGAAGGCTGGCCATCATTTGTGGGACGTGTTGATCTGGATGTATGGAAGGATGTCACGGTGTCTGTTGGGGAGGGTCATGAGGGGGCGGTGGAAACTGGCTTGCTGCTCATGTTGGATTTTCTCCACCTGCCTCCTAAACTTTTGGGCAAGCAGGATTGATGGGACCCCTCTCCTTAACCTCTGGGCAGGCTTTCTTTGCCACACTTCATTTTTGGAATACTTCACACCAAGAGGCCCTCCTGAAATGTCCTGCAAAACAGAAGAACTTGCTGTAGTTTCTGTAATCCATTGATCTGCTGTCATATTATCAACAGATTTCGAAGTTTTGAAACACTAGCTAGCAAACAATAGAGCACGGCGCTAACATTACCAAGGGTCATGAGTTCGATTCCCAATGAAGGCATGAACTGTCTACAGTGAATGCAATGCAAGTTACTTTGGATAGAAGCGTCTGCCAAATACATAAATTCTTCAAATTTCAATATGATAATGAACAAAGACAAATCACATACATAGGCTGTCCTCTTATCCTGGTACAGTAAAAAATACAGACATTCGATTTACTCTATAGGCAAACTGATTATTTGTTGAACAATCTCTCCAGCATCCTCATCAACTCATAGTGCAAATGTAGACTCAAGTGGGGCTATTGTGTTGTTGGGTTGTTTGTTTTTGTAATTTTCAAATCCAGCAATGGCCAGCTGGCTAACTGTCTTGCCAACGCTTAACATATTTCCATGCCAAGAGCACATGGCAGAAAAACTAGCCAGAATGCGGCACAACACTTGTACTTGTTTTGGTGCTTGGAATACTGACATCACTGCACATGCTGTCCAAAAGAGTTTCATGGTGTTGCCATGGGCTTTTGTTTGAGTAACTACCTCCCTTAATGTTGTTCGTACATCATCTTTAATGCAGTCTGCAGATTTCTGATGATCTGTGCCATTTTCTACATTGCTCAGCGATTCTGAGAGAGGAGACATGGTTAATATTGATTTTGCAGTGATAAAAACAGGCTGCATGTCTGACTTGCCTGTCTAGTCTGAGTCTGTGTTTGTGGGTTCAGCAAAATCATTGTGCTGGGCTTTCGACGGGGGGAGGGGAAGATAAGCAGCTCCGTGTACCTTGTGAAGAGCTGCCTGGGACACTGGGAAGACCTGCAGCGAGGTGGAGGAAACATCTCGCTCTGACTTCACAGGTTTTGCACAGTACTGCTCCAGCAGACGCAGCTCACAGCTACGAAAGCAGCATTCTTCCACTATTCCTCTCTGAGGACGGCGGCTGTTTGATCTGTTCGGCCTGCCTGGGTGGGGGAAGAGAAGGTAAGCGATCAACACTGGGGTTCCCCTGGAAAGCGACCAATGCTACCAATTCACACCCTTTTGTTTATAATTCACCAAATCCCACATGTGGCTGCTGGCATGTTCCTAGGATTTCTGAAATGTGAGACTGCATCAACAGATCCTTTCTTTCTTTCCTGTTCTTTGTGACCCCCTTTTCATTTTTTACCACAAACCGATTTGATAAGGACTTTAAAACATTGTGGACAGGAAAAAAAACAAATATTGTTCTATGTTCCCAAGGATGTGTGAATAGCTTGCAAAATGGATCATTTAACCTTGCCATTTGCCTACTAAACATAGATAAAAGATAAAGAACAGCAAGAGAGGTACAAAAGGGGGAAGTCCATCGTCATCTGATAGGAATACAGGGGACAAGAGAGAGAGAGAGAGAGAGAGAGAGAGAGAGAGAGAGAGAGAGAGAGAGAGAGAGAGAGAAACCGAGAGAGAGAGGGAGAGAAACCGAGAGAGAGAGAGAGAAACTGAGAGAAACCGTTTGCAAACAAATAAATACCTGCAAACACAAATTTAATTTGTAATTTGCCCCCCTAATAATTTATCCCACTAACACTAACATCTGAAAGGCAATTAACAGCACTAATGGCTTGTAATGAGAACAATTGGTGGAAAGTGACCAAAAACACAAAACATTATGCAACCAGCAATCTGAAAGACAAGACAGCTGATTATGCCATGTATGACCACTATCTCAATTTAAATCTACTAACAAATGGCTATGTAAAGGTTTAGATGTCCAGGCAATAACAATCACACACAGCACTGTAAGAGTTACACTTACTGATATAAAACCCATTTTCTCCACACACGAACTGCAGAGTATCCACAAGTTCTCCACCGCAAAGTGTCTCCGCCGTTGCTACGGGGGATGCCAACGTGAACAATGACAGAATGAAGAGTATCAGTGAGCACATCTGTAAAATGAAAACAGACTTGAGTGAGTCAATTCATATACACGCAGTACAACTGTATAGTTTAAAGAGGCTGATGTAATTGTCTGGATTTCATTCACACGAGCAAATAGTATTCAACAAAGTTCAAAGTAACTGTGGAGACGCTATCCGTATCAGTGATACAATCAATCAATGGCTACACTTAAAACAACCCTCAAACCCACAGAATGGTGAAAAATATGAAAACTTTTCTCAAAGTTTGACATATCGACATTAATATTCATATACACCTTTTAAATAATCACGTTGAAATTGTGCAAATGTAAACATGCAGAAAGGTAGTAGGCTACTACAAGCTCGTATTATCACTTTCTCTTACCGTTGTTTGTCTTTTCTCTGTTTTTCGACACGATGCACAGAATAGATGGTAATCGTCCATAGTAGGCGGTTTGTGGAAAGCGATCTAACGTTACTAGCTGTTGTACTAAAGAGTTGCTTTGTTTAATTTCCAGTCTGCTGCATCTCTGTGAGTGATGCTTGTGGCTGTCTCAAAGTTCAGAAGACAGGCAAGGGATATGTACTGAGAGGCAATACCCGCCCCTCGTCGCACCCCCAGCCCGTAGCGATGAACGAATGGCTTTTGAGTCGGATCCTTTTTAAATGAACTGGGTTGAACCGCTTCACAAAACTGGACATGATCAGTGAATCGGTTCATAAGCCAACAACTCGCATTAAGAACTTGTTCATTAATTTCATAAGAAAATAAATAACATTTCAACCACGATATGCTAGTCGATTTTTAGTAGTATTTCTTGTTTCTACAAATTATAATTAATGCCTGCAACAACGGAACTAGGTCTGGAACATGTAAAATTACAACAACCACCCTAAGAAAACATTAGGCCTTAGTGCTTTACTGGGACGGTTTTGGAATGCTTTACGTGATGACGTAAAGAATCTCTTTTTGTACCGTTTTGAACTCGTTCTTTGAAACAAACTGTTCGAAAGATCCGATTCGCGAAAATGCTTTCCCAGTCGCTACTGCCAGTCCGCTCACAGTGCGTGTGAGAAATGGAATGCTACACTTAATCAAATTCAGTTTGACAAAATTAGGCTATTTCGATTTAAGCCAACATTTGTCCTTAACCCATTTAAGAAAGTGTGTTCAAACTTCATATTTAGAATACTTTATTTTTATTATTATTTTCCAAATCTCTAGTATTTTCTAACATACACCTTTTTTTTTGCTCGTCTGATTCGGGAATCATAAAACAGACGAAAAACAATGTGACACTTGATGCAAGAATATTGTGAAAGTGCAAGGCACTACATGTTTAAATGTTTGAATGCATGCACACTCAGCTAATGGGAGTAATTTAGACTACCTGCTCACCAATGACGATGCGCATTCTTAGTCAAATAGCCTCCACTTAAAAAAAAAAAAAAAAAAAAAAAAACCTTTTGGCAACACGACAGGTCAGCCCGAGGAATTTTAATTGACGGAACATTCTTTCAGCTTCTCACCATAACAAAGGGGGTTGCAATCGCATTCCAGTGAATGTAGACAGACACCATGATGAAATTTCACTCTCACACGACAAGTGGTGACCCTTGTGCGCGCGCGCTACATCTCGTGCGAAAACCTAAAATCATTTATTTTCTTTACAAAGCAAACAATCATTTGTCTATACGCCGTTCACGACGCAATGAAACTGCTAGGCAATAGCCTATGTAACAGCGAATTTGTACACATACCAGTCTAGCAGTAGAAGAAGCCTAATAGATAAAGTGCTGCATGGAAATGAATTAACAGTCAACATGTCCTAACATGCCTCAAACCGGACATAATGGAACTTTAGTAAAACTAATTTCATTGTCTGCCTGAAAACAGCAGCCAGTGTCATGCAAAATCCGCTAATTTTAATTCACTCTTAAAGTAAAAATGACATGAATTGGACATCATTCGGTGATAGGAAAAAAATCAGCTTATAGGCTATAATTATACTGTCAGCATGGTTCCTCAAGGTTCATAAGATTTGTTTTTTAAATAGACAGGCCCAACACCACTCATTAAACAGCTTGTGATAATGTATTAGACAAGTCGTCGTCTTCTAATAAAAATAATTATTGTTATTAGTGTTTAACATAGTGTATGAACCATCTTGTGTCATTATTAGGCTATCATGACAAGTACACTATGGCACTCTCTAGTGGTCCAAAGTTATAAAGCCAGTGTAAAATGACTACATGAGTTAGAATTTAGCTTAATCTGATTAAAGTTAAATTAGTTAAAGTTAAATCTTTTAGAAATGATCAAAATGTTATATATGTCAGAGGTGTGTGAGGAAAGCCATGGACTTCTTTCTCTGCTACCATCAAGCAGACGTTACCGCAGCATCCGGTCCAGCACCAGAAGACAGTTAAAAGACTAAAAGACAGTTTCTAAAAGACAGTTTCTCTCCGCAGGCCATTAGACTTCTCAACTAATGGCCCTTCAATATAGCATAACCACCACCACAGCATATATCTGTAGATATAGCCTACATCATACACTTCTAACACACACATCTTCAATGTAAAAATAAAAATACACAGTGTATACTTTACTTCTCACTGTATTATTTGTTTATAATGTGTGTACGGTATTGTATAAATCCAGTTGTGTGTATATTTTGTATATTTATTGTATTTTTTATATTTTGTCATGACTTGTAAAGTGCACTTTCTGGAGTAGCCTATAAACCAAGAATTTCACCCACCACTACACTTATGTGTTTTGGTGGTTTGACAGTAAAACGGTTCGGTGTGTGTACTGTAATTGCAATCAATCCGATACAGTGAGTTATTGGTCAGTTTGGGACTCCATGATGTTTTTGATATGTTTGGCACTTTCTGCCAGCAAGAAAGTGTTCAGGCACTTTATTTGTATTCTTCATGTAAACCAGTCCCCCTAATCCTCACACCAAACACCTTACACTCACTATTCATAGCAGTAACAACAACATTCACCCGTGCAATAAAAAAATTACCCTTCTTTTTGTTGAAATGTGTAATACAATCTAATGCACGTTAGTGTCCCCTCCGAAACAAAAGTTGATTTTCAAAAGATACTGTGGAAAAGCCTCACTCTGTATCATTTTATATGGTCGTTGTAGGATTGAGTATAAGGAAATCACCTCTGTCGCAAACATTTCCTATGTAATAACATGATGTAAAATGAAATATAAAGTTCAAATGTGTTCTATGAAAACACAGAGATTCCTTTTTAGATTCCTTTTTACATAGGCATTATATGGTGTGGTATTGTGTCTTCTGTTTAGCAATGATATTTGTTACATTTAAATTTATAGTGATAACTAAAGTATTTATTATTTGATAATGATCTGAAATATGAAAGTGTTAGAGTGGACCACTGTTGATATGGTTTCCTACTTCAGTGAAAGTGACTTAATTGCACAAGATTTGTGCAATAATTTTTTGTTGCTGTTCACCCACGAAGACAAGCGCTCCATGTCTGCATATTTTCATTTGGGGGATCCGACAAGGACTTTGATGACACTCATTCCTCCAAGCCGTGCAGGACCACTTCAGCTCATGGGGGCAGAGCGATACGCGTCAGTAAATGATGCAATGGTCGTTATCTCAGGGAACTAATTGGTTACTTGCGTATCCTCAGTTCCCTGAGTTAGGGAATGAAGTATTGCGTAGCTATACGCAGTGGGAAAAGTCCTTTTTCTCGATTGAATTAAACCTACTGTATATGTAAAACACATTTACATTAGGGCCTAGTCAAAGTCCAGGGCCATTTTTTAGTCCCAGTCCGTCCCTGGGAATGAGAGAACCACTGATATTTCAACATGACTCAAGCAACAGCTGGAAAAAAATCCCACCCATTTTCAAAGCATAGAGGCGCCGAGTCGACGCGGTTCTAGCTTCAGATATAGTGTTCAACGCATTCACAGGAAGGTCCCCGGATACCCATTTAGGGGCTACACATGGAGGGCCCATAGATCGGGCCGTGGATGCAACATCATTCCCTTGATGATGGAGGTGCCCTTGAAAGGAGGTCTTTCCTCATCAGGACAGGCCAAGGAGCTGTGTCCGATAACTGAACCAGCTCCGGAAACCACGGTCTGGATTTCCAGAGAGGAGCCACCAGAAGGACTTGGCACTCACTCTCTCTGACCCGTTTGATGACATGTGGAATAATCAAGACGGGGGGAAAGAACCCCTTATAATATGTTGAGAAGAACATATTACAGTGTGGGTGTTGTTTTTCGAGGCGAACAGGACGATTTCGGCTCTGCCAAAGACCTTCCATATCAGAATGGCCGTCTGTGGGTTCAGGGACCACTTGCCAAGGGGAGTGTTGCCCCACCTGGACACCTGGGATATGCACAGCTCTCAAAGAGCTCAGATTGTTCTGTGCCCATAAGAGGAGATTTCTCACCAAAGCAAGCCAGTCACCTGACCTGGCGATTTATAGGCCACTACTAAGACATGGTGACCCCTGAGGTTCAACAGAAATCTCTTCAGGGCCAAACCAACTGCTTTCATTTCCAGACAGTTGATGTGAAAGCCGACAGTCGCGAATAATCTCCCCCTCGCCTTTGACACGGTGCCACTGACTGTAAAAGCGCAAAAGGCGAAACTTGAATTTCCAGGTATGTCCCTCTTTGGCTAATGTATTTTCAAGATGGATGCACAACATGGCTACTGCCATTCGAGCCACTCACTCCTATCTATTCTGAATGGCAGATTCTACACTTACGAGAATACTTGATTAGTTGGTGGAAATAATTACACATGAATGAGCACATATCATTTTGAAAGAAGAAAGTATTTTTTGCTAAGAATCAACTTAAAAAATTACACCGTGTCGATGTAATGTTTTTCAAAATATTCTATCCTCACCAAGGCTACATTTATTAGATCAAAAATTTAGTAAAAATCGTAATATTGTGAAATATTATTGCAACTTAAAATAGCCGGTTTCTATTTTTATTTATTTGTATTTTAATATTGTTGGTAAAGCTGAATTTTCAGCAGTCATTACTCCAGACTTCATTGTATGATCCTTCAGAAATCATTCCAGTATGTTGATTTACTGTTAAAAAACTATTATTATTATTGAAAACGGTTGTGCTGCTTCATATTTATGCTTTGTGCACTTTTTTTTCCACAATTGGACCTACTTTATATTAAGAATCTTTAATTACTAACATTTAAATGAATAATTGAATATAATTAACTTGTATACATGCATGTTTTACATTGCACTTACATAAAAAACACCTGCAATTACAAACATCTATATTTACACATCTTAAACCTACCTGTACCACCAAACCTGTCCCCAACCTTCCCTTTATTAGACCAAACCAACCAACCTTTTTTGCAATCCAACATAAACACAGTAAGTATGTTGTGTACCTAACAAATAGTTTTATTTTATTTTTTTGACAAGCACATTAAAGAAACACTATGTAGTTTTTCATTCTTCATAATATATTTCCAGGACCCTTGTGATGGTACATTGACTTAATAGTTTAAATGACATGTCTGCCATAGCCTGACGTGGTCTGTATCGCTTTTACTTGCACTTTGTGACATTGGGTTTCGGGTAGTAACCGAAGCACAAATAGAACTACAAAATTCGACTGCTTTACAGTATACGTCACTTCCCCCACCACTTCCTCAAAGTGTCTGTGGCAACTGTTGATTCTGATGGCAATTGTTCAAAGCCGTTGCTGGATAAACGGCAAGCATGCATGTGTGACAGTAAATTATTTTACTAAATTATTTACGAAAGCGGTAATGGACAATTCCGCATCCAACCTGTAGGGCAACTGCAGAGGTAAAGTTACTTGGTGTTTCTTTAAAGTGATTAAAGATACCAAATATAAAGTGAGGCTGCTTAGTTGGGGACATTAAATGTAACATTTAATTTAATATTCAACAATAATATTGATCTGCCTGCATTGACACTATTATACGAGAACTGAACTGGATGATGACATCATGGGTTTCTCCAGACTTTTCTACAACTAAAATGAAACATCACTGAACTTACTCTTCTGGAAACAAACTTTGTTGCATTATTTTTCTGTTATCTCTGAAAAGCTGCTTTGAAACAATCTGTATTGTAAAAAGTGCTATATTAATACATATATGACTTGACAATATACAGAATTATTAGGAGATTTTGTTCTAAAGTTTTACTAACTTATTTACAGGAAAGAAAAAGGCTCAACCACATTTCTCTGTATGTTGTGGACCAATGTCAAACAGTTTAAACGGGAACACAGTTCAATTTATGCAGCCTACTTAGAAGAGATGCCTTGAATAGGTCAATGACTGGACTCTGGCCTATATAAAAACACTACATTTGAGCATTTAGTTTGACTATATCTATGGAAAAAAGAAAATTGGGAAAAGCTGTTTTGTGCTCCGACATTGAGGTAAAGATAAAATTTTAAGAGTAAATGTGGTTAAAACTTATTAGAAATCAATTATGTTTATGTTTATGCAATCCTACTTTATTACAGACTACTAGTCATGAAGAACTGTGAATATTTTTTTTTTTAGTTTAATGCTTAATAAAATAATGTTTTAGAATACATGAGATTTTTTTTCCAGAAATATTTAACATTTTTCAAAACCAATACAGTATATAACAGTCAGAAGGAACATAAAATATGATGGAAGAAAAATAAATGAAATCAAATAAAAACAAATATACAGTTATTGTGATAAAGCCTCTGATAAGCATTAACCAATTAAAAAACACCTTTCAAATGATGCTGAATCAACACACACAAACCAATACAAACAGGCTGGTCAAGCAAAATCCATTATAAATGAGTGTACACATGGGGTATTCAGAAACTTAACATCTGCTTAATCTCCTCTTTCTATTCATTACTTAATATTGAAAATGAAAAACTGCAAATATAAGAATGCAAAGCAAAAGCAAAAATAAAGAGCTGCAATTTACTCGATTTATAAGCTTAACACTTCAGGCAAGCAAATTACTATATGCTCCTTGACATCTAGTCAACAGAATGTCATCTATTCAAGTGTCAGTCAAAGAATTTGTACATCTCAGTAACGTATATACTGCAAGCGAAAAGTGAAAGCACATCCTGGTAATGAAATGCAGTTTAACTTTAGATCACATGCACTGAACTGTTCAGTTAAGACACGTGTTAAGGCACCAGCACATATAACAACAGAATGAGATTCTCACACTGCCTCCCTAATTCTCTCCTACAAAAGCTGCATCTCACAGACACATGCAAACAAACAGGACAACAGTGGTAAAGCAAAAAAAAAAATAAAAAAAATAAATCACACTTCTCTTATTTAAGGTTAGTCATTAAAAGCACAATCCTTTCACCAGTCAAATCATTTTGGGTCTCTTTTGTCAAGCTGAAACAGATCCAGCATATCAAGCATTGCTTTTCTGATATTGTTTCCAAAGCGATGAGAGTCCTGAAGAAAGATGGGAGAAAATACAAAAAACTATGAGAGAAAACGCCAATAAATCAAAAACAAGGTTAGCCATGTATCCATCTGAATTTAACTTAATGCAAAAACTTGGAACATAGAGCATATTGCAGGTTAAAAAAAAATCTAAATTAATAGATAACCTTGTATCAAAATACCATATGAAAAGTTAATGCAGGATTTAAAATGTTTTAAAACAACTTAAGGGCACTAATTTAGTAGACAAAGTGAGCGTTTCTTGGACAGCTCGTAAAACGGCTTTTTTTTCCAACATTGCATCATTGTACGTCACGTTAGGGAGCCTCAGCCTCGGCTCAGTGCAGAGTATGCTGGTATTCAGTGAGAGCGGTCGTCAGTCAGTGTGCTTTCAGTAGTTTTTGTATTTTAAATTATCATCGTCATGGTAAATTATTGTGTTTGCGTAGGTTGCAAAAACTCCGGCCTGTCAGGACTTCAAGGTCGAGCCCAGAGGTTTCCATTACAAGAAAAGGGACAGTGCTATTGCCTATCTTTCGTTCCTGGTGCAGTTTGTGCAGGTGAAGAGATGGGATTTCTCTTCTGCATTGGCTTCGGAAAATGCGGCCGTGTGTAGCGTTCACTTCAGATCAAATGATTACCATCCTGGCGATATGATGGAGTTCAACATGGCATGCCGAAGCAAGAATATATATAAATCCCCCCCCCCTTACACTTCCTCCAACAATGACGTAAAATGACGATTTTTGCGTTATTGTAGGAGGAAGTGAAAAAGGTAAATAGCAGATTTCTCTCTTCCCAGGTGAAAATGAGAGTGTTGCACGGTCATTCAACAGTATAACTGAGTTTCTAACAATGGAAAGCTTAATGCGGATGGATGGAGTGTCCCTTTAATAATAAAATAGGAAGTTGCTGCACCGAGGAAGCCATTGTGGCTCATTTTTATAAATAAATGACTCGAGTAACAAACACCTTCATGTTATCTTGCCATGTGAGGCAGATGCCTGATATGCAAGATAGTTTTGGGAGGTAATTATAGCAAATTATTTTGATTACAGACTTCGGCTTGGGCATTTCAGAATGACTTAACATTGAAGATGGTGTCTAATGATATTGGTTCGCTGGTTAGTCCAGCACTGTGTATTGTGACTGATTCTTTGATTATGTATGTACTCACGGTCTCTAGACTGGAACGTTTGGAAGAGATGTGGAAATTGATGAGTTTTTCTCCAATAATCACATAGGCCACACCATAACCATCATCTGCAACCTACAACAGACAAAAAAAGTTGAATTGATTTTTTTACTAAGCGTTTTAAGATTACCAGATTATGTAATTTTTGAAAGACTCACCGGTCCAAAGCCTCCCCCACTGGTCACATACTCTGGGTGTCTCGTCAGGTCAAACAGCTCCACCTGCTGTAGGGGAGTCTGACTGGTGGAGAGTTTCCAAGGCTCTGACAGAACCTGCAGGGACAGGAATTTGGACATGTTGCATTCAATTGCATTGACATTTGTTAAAGAATATCAGCTACTTGTCTTTAAAGGCAGAAATGTCATTTTATTTAAAAAAAAATATAGATTATAATATATACACTACTGGTCAAAAGTTTGGGGTCCGTAAAATGTTTTTAAAAGAGGTCTAAAGGCCGGAACACACCAAGCCGATGCAGACAAACTAGCACTGATGAAAGCCGACTTTGTTGTAGCCTCGCGTCGGGGTAAAAAGCTGCACTTGAACACACCGAGAGAACTACAGCCGACTGTCGGCTATAATGTGCGTTCTGCGCCTGCGTGTAATGAGCTAACTGTCTATTTCTGCAGATATATTCGTCATTCAAAAAGGGAAACCGACGCTACAGGCTGCATACACACCGTAAACAAAGCAATGCGTGCTTACCTGTTTGAATATCAATCCTGCTTAACAATATCTTTAATAATATCTTTATTCCACTCTGCTCACGTTAATATTGAAATATTTTCCAAGGAACACTCAGATAAGAAGATGTAACAGTCTTCTATCTTTACTGTTTTGCTCGCTGTTTTGCTATTATTCTCGTGCACTGACTCGTTCACTAAGCTGAACAGCCAATCAGAGTTCGCTCTTTCACGGATGGCACGACGCCGATTCAACATGTCAAATCGGCCAAAACAAAGCCGACGAGGACCAATTTCAGCCGACGGCACGGAACTGTGCGGAACCCACCGGAACACACTGAGAAGACTTAGTCAGCCGACGCACAAAACCTGCCCGACAGCAGACCATCGGCTTAGTGTGTTCCGGGCTTAATGGTCACCAAAACTCTGTTTACTTTTAGCAGTAATATTATATTGTATTATATTATAGTAATTTGATTACAATTTAAAAGAATAGATTTTTTTATAGTAATGAAAATCATTTAGTTCAGTTAGAGAACAGACAATACAATTAAAAACTAAAGGCATCTTTTCAATTGAGCCGAACAAGAGTCGCATCCCAGATGAGCAGCAGAACTTAGATTTCACCTCACTCGACTGACAAGATGATGGCAGAATATTTGGTTTCAAAGCGAAATGTAAAAACTATGAGTTTGTCATTATACTGTTTTGTTGTGTTTTTCATTATTAATGAACCAACCATTCAAGCAATTGCTGCTCCCGAACTGGCGATAATTGGGCATTTATAACAGTGCGTGTCCACTGGCGTGGAGCAGAGCGAGCTTTTTCTGTTCATTCCTATGGAAGTTGAGGAATTCATTGAAAACACTCGCCCTGCACCAGTGGACACACATCATAAGGGATTTAAAAAAACGAAAAGAGGGAAAAAAACTCCGTCTCCCATCCCATTTTATTTTCTGAATCACTTAAGTGCTGTAACACACCTCTTGGAGGAAAGGGGAGTCCTGTCCAAGGTACTTAGACACAACGTAGAGGCAAAAGAGATGGCGGTCAATGCCATGACCAGTCATTGCCTTTCTGTACATCTGCTGGTGTTTCTCAGAGGCCTTACTCAGTAAACGAAGTTTTTCTTCTCTCTAAAATATACAAGAGAAAAAAAAAATGATTGTTGTCCAATTTCTGCTATCTGCACTGGTATAGCGCACCCCACATCCCAATGAGTTTTAAGGGGTATTTTTGACACGGTACCGTCTCGTTGTTGGCCATGGCATGGACAAAAGCACAGGACTCCACGGTGCAGGAGCGCACAGTTTCTGTACGGCCTTCTCTGAATAAACGTGTCATGGATGCCTCATAAGTCAAGCAGAATTTTCCTTTGTCCTGTACAATGAAAAGATATTGACATCACATTTCACGTTCATTTCACAAATGAGCAATAAGCAGGCATAACTTGCTACAACTTTTTATACTTCAGAAGTTCACTGATAGGACAGTTCACCCTATAATGGGCCAGCTGCAGTGCGAGCTGGATGAAGGCATCTGGACTGGTCCTGCACTGCTTGATCAGGCCCTTTCCAAAATCACTAAAGGGGATGATGTGAGAGTCCACATCATCAGCCAAAGCCTTGGCCACAGACAGAGAGTTGGCAATCATAGTTTGGCACTGTCATGAAATATGAAGCACAAGAGACAGAATATCAAACTCCATCATATCCATTCAAGCAAGATGTGAAGAAAGAGTTATCAGTGTTTTTACTATGAAGTTTATCATACACAGACCTCAGATGGGATATTCCACTGGAGTCTTTGAGGTCCGGGCAGATTAGGGTGAGGTTCTCCTTTACAGTGGCCATCTTTTGTGTAGCCCAGCTTAACAGGGTCCATCGAGAGCGCAAACTTCATGAAAAATATTATCAAGCTTTACATTAGAAGCAGATATATATAATTTCATGCATGATAAATAGGAATTAAAAGGTGAAACACAACTGATGTACACTACCATTGAAAAGTATGTGATTGCTATGAATTTCTACATTTAAAAAAAAGTCTCTTATGTTCCTTAAAAAAAAATATATATATATATATATATATATATACACACACACATACACACACACATATACATACATATTCAAATTTTATTTATTCCTGTGATAGCAAAACTGTATTTTTTTCCAGTTTCTGTCACATGATCCTTCAGAAATCATTCTAACATGCTGATTTGCTCCTTGAGAAACATTTCTTATTAAATGTTAAAAAAAAAAAGCTGCCATTTAATATTTTTGTGGAAACAAACTATGAGACTTATTTCAGAATAGCTTGTAACAGCATTTAACAGCAATAATAACAGCATTTATTTGGAGGCAGAATTCCTGGTAATTGAATTCCTTATTAATTGAATGCGTCCTTGCTGAATAAAAGTAATAATTTCTGACTGACAGACTGACTCAAAGACTGTAGTAGACCAAAAAAGTAGTGTGTGAGTGTACCTCCCAGAGGTGGCCAACGACTGGAGCATCAGCCCAACTGTGTTCTGCATTAAGACCCATTGTTCCATTTTTGAAGACAATGAAGTTTATGGACTTATCAAACCACCTAAGGGAAGATGACCATTAAAATTTACACATTTTATAAAAACTACTTAGAGGTACAGTACTGGTTCCTAGAGAGTGAAAGACTGTGTTCAATTACACTCATCTTTAGTCAGATGCATTTACATTGTGACTGTGCCTCAGATGCAATCAACTCTATCTGTGTCTGTAAAAATGTGAACTAAACGGCCAATATAGAGGTATGGCCCAAAGAAACTGATGGGTATGAAAGACATAGAAACAGCATTGCTCAGCGTAAATTGCAGGGTTGATTGATCTCCTGTGGGAGGTCCTAACAGGTTTCTATGCAGCCCTTCCTACAGACAAAACTTTGGGTTAAAGGAGTAGTTCACTTTTAAAAAAAAACTTTTGCTGATAATTTACTCACCCTCATGTCATCCAAGATATTCATGTCATTCTTTCTTCAGTCGAAAAGAAATTAAGGTTTTTGATGAAAATATTCCAGGATTTTTCTCCATATAATGCACTTTACTGGTAACCAAATGTTTCAAGGTCCAAAAGACAGTTTTAGTGCAAACTGTTCAAAGGGCTTTAAACGATTCCAGATGATGAATAAGGGTCTTATCAAGCGAAACCATCACTCATTTAAAAAACAAACAAAGTTTAAGTTTCATAAGCTCAAATGGTCACCTTGCTCTGTTCTGTGATGCATGTTTGTGACTCTCCTGTTCGAACTGAACAAATCTTTTTTCCTGTCATTTGGTTCATTCAACGAACGAAATGAACGAATTGACTCAGGAAAAGATCCGTTCATTTTGATGAACGAGTTCGAACAGCAGAGTCACGAACGCGCATCACAGAGCAGAGCAAGGCGACCATTTGCGCTTATATAACTTAGACTTTTTTTTTTTAAATGAGCAATTGTTACGCTTGATAAGACCCTTATTCATCGTGTGGAATCGTTTAAGTTACAAACTGAAACAGGAAGTGTTTCTGGACCAGTGTTGTTTACATCTTGTGAAATGGTCTATATGGAGAAAAATCCTGGAATGTTTTCATCAAAAAACCTTAAATTCTTTTCGACTGAAGAAAGAATGACATGGACAACTTGGGTGACATGGGGGTGAGTAAATTATCAGCAAAAGTTTTTTTAAAAGTGAACTACTCCTTTAAGATTCTTTGAAGGGTGACACGCTAACATCGCTGCTGTAGAACTGTGCTGTACTACAACTACCTTCAATAAATTCTACTCCCCACAAGAAATCTGGTCAAGCTTACGTATTTAATGGAGAGCCACACAAACAACTGCTCAGCCAAATATAGAGAAATCTAACAAAAAGACTCACAACAACATTTTCAAAGGGGCTTGGAAGGAGATGGTCTCTTTTAACACATGCTATAGTTTCTTTCTCACCTGTCATAACACTTCCCATGGAGCAGCGATTTAGCATAACGGTCCAAGGACTCCACAGGGTTTTCTGGATCATAGCGCTACTCTGTGTCATCCAGTGTAACAAAGAAAGCAGCCTTCTCAACAGCATCGAGAGACTTCTTGTTCTTCCCGTGTGTGAGGTAGGCATTACGGGCACATGCCCAAGGCACTCTGACACAGCCACAGATACAAAAAAAACAAGCTTTTACTCCATCTAAAATGGTTTAGACTGTTTGCAAAAAAAAAATAGTGACTAAAAAATATAAAATAAAAAAGAGGAAGGAGAAATTAGAAACAAAAGTACTTAATTTCAAACTGACAGCCCACTTAAACTTTATATCAGTCAAAAGAAATCAAACAAATGAAAGACAGGAAAACGGTAGAGACTCCTGCTGTTGGGTGTGTAGTGAATACCTGTCCCCTGCGGTGAGGGCGGCGAGGGTTTCCTCTCCAGGCTGTGGCTCTGACGTGTCAGCCAGGATCCTCTCCATCTGCTGCTCTATCTCTCGTGGCAACAGCAACCGCCCATCATAAAACAACCATACTTTAAAGTAACGACCCCGATGATACACCACAATATGCCTGCTGTCAGACCTATGCTTAACGGAGTCTATAGAAAGAAAGAAAGTCAATATACACTGAACATTTACAACGTTAATATGATTATAAATGAAAAATGTTTATATAAACAAAACAGTTTAAATCTCTGGAGTCATAAGAATTAATGAATTCATATTTTTATTTAGCAATGATGCATTAAATTGATTGATTTGAAAGTGACACTAGAGACACAGTTTCAACAAAAAAATGAAGTAGCAACTCTTGGAAAGCAGGATTGGAAGAACTTTGCCCAATAACTCTTAATAAGCCTCAAAGACAACTGTGTCACTGTTCAGTACCTGTTTCTATGCCTGGGATGCGACTGGTGTTGAACATGCGCTCATACTGGGACGAGCACATGGGGATGGTGTTTTGAAGCATTAGCTGCGAAGCAGAGAAAATGGTCACAAATCACTGTTGGGCAGATCAGAGAGAGAACTATGCAATCATCAGTACGCAATGAAGACTAACTAGTGTCCTAGTAAAAAAAAAAAGATAATAATTTAAAAAATGCAATGAAATGAATGGAGAGGGATTTTAAGCAGCACAGTCCTGTGCATACGCAAGAAAAAACTGCCAGTTACAGTTTACAATAGCATATCTATTAGTCTGCTAATCAAAAATAACTGATGACACATGACCAGTGTAGTAGACAGAAGCTGGCCTATGGTGCACAGACTGACTATTCTTACCACTTTTCAGGCCTGGGATGCGGTACGTATTAAATAGCCGTTCCCACTGGGCAGAACAGAGTGCAACTCTGTTCAATAGTGCAAAAAGCTGCACCATTATGACCAGGAGGCATGAAATATAGAAATATTTAATGCATTAAATAAAGAGATCAATCTCCATAGCGACAGGCCCAAAAATAGTTAGGGCAATCAATCATTTGAGACAAGAGGGTAGAGGTTATTACAGTGCTGTTACTTATTGGTTCTATGGCTGTGAAAGTCTAAAAGTCTTGTATCCTCCTTTATTATGGGGCAAAATAATAAAAAAAAGCTAATCTACCTGTTTACACAACAAAACTCACTTATTAAAAAAAGTGATTTGTTTACAGTAAAGATGAGGTACAAAATACGGTTGATCGTCTAACCGGCTTGATTTGAGCACGGTCCAGCATCCCTCTGTAAAGCATGATTGCATGTATGACGTTGCCGGCTCTTGCTGCTTGTAGATGTGTGGGGAAGGCATAAAGAAAGTCCTGTTCAGAGGGAAATAAAGAAACAAGGAGCTTACCTTAGATACCAAGAATGCAGGTATAATATAACTGATATGAAACAAAAAATTACCTAAGATTTTCTAGGGCCCTGTTTACACCTGGTCTTAAGATGTGTTTTTCTCGATCAGATCAAATACAGGTGTAAATGGGGTCTAAAACATTTTGAGCTTGTCCACTTTCGACCACTTCCAGACAGAGGTGGATGAAAATGCATTCGACCGGATTGCTTTCGTAGTGTAAACACTCATGTGGTCGAATACATCTGAACAGCCACAAAAGACAGCCCACTCTCCGCCTACCAAATTAATGCATAAAAATTAGGGAAGGAGTAGCCAGGTGGGATTTAAACATTGTCGGCTGAAGACCCAAGTTTTAAAGATGGAAAAAAAATCCTGTTATCTAACACACACTACCGATCCGATGTGGTCTTGCAGTTATTGGAGCATAAATGAAAGCTGCTGCTCTCTATATGTTTCTCTGTTATCTCCAGACGCATTCATATGTAAATTGAGCATGCTTATTTTGTCCATTAGATCGAATAATCTGAAAGAAAAAAACAAAAAACATTTCCCCACCCATATACCCTCCCCTTGAAGAAATCAGGACAAAAGTGGTTGAAAGTGGACAAAAGAGACGGAATAAAATACCTAATGTAAACATGTATGTGCATCCCTTCTTTACTTGTGGCTTATTGCCAGGTGTAAACAGAGCCTAGCAGACAATAATAATATTTCTAGGTATTACACTGCAGCTTGTAGCTAAATATGAATGTGAGGCTGGCAAGTAGTATTTACCATTACATAGTAGTTGCTGTTAACCATGATTGGACCACGACCTCTCAAGTAGATATATTCTTCCCACCAGTCACTGACCTTAAACACACACACAACGATGCAAAATCAGGTTAGACAGTCAGACTAATTTCTGTTATGCAGGAATGTTCACTTTCCCCATCATGTACAGTACCATTCAAAAGTTTAGGGGTAAGTATGATGTTTTATCTTTTTTAAAGAAGTCTCTTATGCTTATCAAGGCTGCATTTATTTGATCAAAAACACAGTAAAACAGTAATATTTTTCAATATTATCATTTAATATTAAAACAGCAAACTGTTATTTTAAAGTAATACAATTTGTAATTTATTATCGTGATGACAAAGCTGAATTTTCAGTTCTGTCAGGACCACTATCGACAAATCCGATTGGCAATTAGCATACATTTCGGATTGGCGGTATGGTTCTGTTCTGGGCAAGAACTCCCTGTGGATCCATGCATCCTAGCAGCAATAACCCCCCTTAGGGTAAACACAACAGAACCAACATGAATGTATTGAAGATATCATTAATTCAAGATTTGAAAGTACAACATAATTCGAGAATTTATTCTCATTTAAGGGGAATCAGAATGCCATGCTGACTGACGAAAGGAGTCAGTACACTTAATCATCATTACTTGTCTTCAGTATCACACGATCCTTCAGAAATCATTCTAATATATTGATTTGGTGTTCAATGATTTCTCATAAATCAGTTGTGCTGCTCAATAGATATGCACAAATCACATGAAGTGTTTGTCACATTGGACCCAAAACAAATTTTCCAAAAGGCAAGTAGATTGCATCCATGCAACATATACAGGACAAAATATAATAAAACATGATTCAAGGAATTAACCTGCTGCTGAACTTATGCATTGAGAAGCAACTGATATGTAGGAGTTATGTGTTATACTTACATAATTGGTGGCCCACCAAGACTTCAGTTTGAGGTACCACTGAAGCTTTGGTCCAAGGTTCTTCTCAAAGTCAAGTGCAAGACTCTGCATTCTTTGGTGTTCCTCATCGCTCAGCAGTGGCCGGACTGATTCAAGATACTACAGGTTCAAAATTACAAGAAAACAAGAAATCACAGCTAAAAAATCACACTTATAATCAATCTCTCACTGTCAGGGTAGTCAAAAAGATTAGTATTAACTTAAATCCAAGCATGTTCCTTATGAGTCTCAGCAAATTATGATTTATAAGTTCAAATCAAACCTAAGCTAGTTTATTTTTCTAGTACGGTTCTTAACAGCGTGCATGTTTTAGTAAGTTAACACTTCATCCACGCTGTGCAACCTACCTCCAACATCAGTAGATAATCACCTGAGCAAGTTAACTCTGAAAACAAGTGACCAAAATCCATATTGAAAAGAACTAATTGAAGAGTAGCTATTCCTGGGTTACCAGTCTGACTTTTAACTGAAGAATATTCATCTCAAATAAATATATTAAACTGAAGAATAGTTTTGATTGGGTTGTTTAAAAGATGAATAATTACTCTTCTCATGGTGTCCTTCACAGATGGCAAAGGTAAATTAGGGAGCGATGTCTGGAAGCTGTTTAGCATTGGTCTTTGCATGCCAGAAAAAATCTTCACTAGCACCTGCAAGGTCAAAGAACAAATGGCAGAGTTCAAAACAACCAAGAATGGATCAGCATAAAGTGTTCCAGAAAACAATTAACACAAATTATGAATCATCTATGTCATACATACAAGCCATATTTTAAGTTTCCAGGTCATTTTGCCTCGGGCACTATACATCCAGCCATGCCAGGACAGCAGACCCTTCAGGACAGTCCTCATGCAAAATATGATAGCAATCCACAGACCCGTTCCCACCATGACACCCCCAACTAACATCTGCTTCTGTGCAGACATATACCTACTGCTGAAAGGGAGTCATAAGAGAAGCCTGATTGAGTATAACCTCCAATGTACTAATGCAATTTAGGCACTTTTTATAGTGTTGTGGAGTAACGAAAAGTCCAAATGAAACAGACATACCTGACCGGGACATGTTTGACAAGTTTGGCGACCAAGCCTAAGGAAGGGTCCACTTTTAAATAATGCGCTCTTCCCAAGTACCCTGCCAAAACCAGCATGAACCCAGGTGCGCTCCCTGGGTACACCCCATTCAAAATCCCATTCTGTGAGCACAATGAAAAACGATATTGTCCAAGATGGTTTTAAATCTCCAAATTGTCTTGAAAAGGTAGCCAAAAGTTCCAGCGCTAGAACATGTAAGAAACACAATCCTAGTACCTTAAAGCGAATGAATTTCTTCTTCCAGGAGTGAAGTCCAGAGAGGTAGACCTGCCGAAGAGCCTCATGACTGAGCTGAAGGTCAATGCCATCAGGGCCAACGGTGAACTGAAAGGCCACAGCCTGATGAGCTTCTGCCATACTGGATCACTGCTAACAATTCTGCAAATGAAAAAAAAAATCTGCAGTCCAGAACACAATAGATGACTAAGTAGACATTTTAGCAATGTGCATTCATATTATAAAACTTGTGACTCCAATGATTGTTATATAAACCTGCTTTTCACCTGCAAATAAAATGACAAACCAATAAATAATACTCAATTACTTGCTTGATTCATATTTCACATTTAACTTTCCGAATTATAAAGCCATGAATATTTGTCAACCATTGGCTGCCCATACGTTAATATTTAAATCACACCGCCATATTACATATTAAGAACACTAGCCTGCCTAACTTACATCGATTTCGCAGAGCTTTTAAAAACAACTTTTTTTTATCTCGAAAGATAATAAGAAAGAAAATAAAAATTAAGATCTAGTCACAAATAGCGATGCTTAACAGACCTGATGATGTGGCTGTCTTTTCATACACAATGAAGTCACGTGATTCAATGCAGGAAAACGGGCAATAAACAAATCGCAAACACCTTTGAATCTAACCCTACTGAATACAAATCCGACCCAGAGATGTAATCTACATGTGTGTATGTGTGTGTGTTTACTCAGTGAGCTATGTGAGCTTTGTCAGCAAAGTTAACCCATTGGACTGTTTATGTCAATGATGACGAAGATGTCAAACTGCCATGTGCCGGTCCTTACCGTCGTTTGATTACTTATTCTCCTGGCCAGACCTGTAACGTGATAAAATTAAGTGTACAGTCAGACATGCATTCGATTGAATGGCACGGTGAATCCAGGCGTTTATTTTCCTGAGTGTTGCTTTAACATTGCAGCATAATAGCCCGCCCACTATACATTAGCCACACCACTAAAAACGTTGCGGTAACAAACTAGTTTACATTTTTGAAATAGCGCACAAATAGATAAATGTGATATTAAAAACAGATAGCGTTGACTATTATTAGAAGATATTAGGGGTTGGTCATCATCCTCCAAGCAGATCCTTTGAGAAATGTCGAACTCGGAACCAATCTGTTTGCATTAAACTGTATCGCGTGCTTTACCAACACGGAAGTGAATGCTGAATGGACCCTATGGAATGGACGTACTGCCTGCAGCAAATACAATGAGAAGATGCACACAAAGAGCAAATGGCAGACATATCATTTGTTTAACAACACATATAATGGGATATTACTAATGACTTTCAGTAGGGTAATAATAGGATTGCTAAAGTCTGCATTATACATACTCGGACCGTTTCCTTTTCAAGTGCAGACTATCGAATTGTTATGATCTCAGATAGCGGAGCTCGAGCCGTGCACGTAAACGGTGCGCACGCCCGGTACTGAGCGCGTCTCGCTGCTCCACGTTTGAGGATGACGTCAGGAGACCTAGTGGTAAAGAAAAAGCTCCTAGACTTGAGAAACAAACAGACAGCAGAGTACCAATATGAAGACCTGCAACCATGCTCGGTTCTCTATTGTTTTTGGCAGTTTAATCATTTTCAGCATTTGTACCGTGAATGGTACGTGAGTAATATCTTTAATTAAGTACCCTACATGTTTAGTGATTTTTTATTTAATGCTCTTATTATTTAATGTTTTTTTCCTTTCGAACTCCGCTAAATACATCGAGTGTCACTGCTTCACTGAAATTAAAATAGGTTGAGCCTAAAATTTGACATTTAAAATAATTGTACATAGGTTTGCTTCTTTGCAGTAGTTATGGGCATCCCTCTGTTACACCAACTTTGACATAGCCTATAATAATATAGCAAACAAAAGAACATTATATTATTACATTACTTTAATAGTGATTTTTGGATTATTGGGGGATGGAGTTTATTTGTGGTACTGAACATTTCACAGATTTGTACCATCTTGTTTTACTCTTACTGGCCATGATATCAAAGTGGGATTGAGTTTTGATCAAGTAGGGCTACAAAAGCCATCTGTCTCGTTAAATTGACAACTTCTTTTGAATGATCTGTCTTTATTTGTCTTCTTCATTAGATCCTATTTAGTCTATCCAAATTATTATATTTTGTTAAATGGAACGAAGATGAATTTAATATAAAGTGGATTTCAATAAATGTTTACCATTAGTTCCACCTAACTCACCTTAATGAGTTTAAAAGACATTTAAAAATATATTTTTTTATTTTATTTTGATCATACATGAGTGTCTGTTGTCACAGGCATCCGTTTTAAGAGTCTGAAGATGGTTTTGGTGAATTTAGCTATTTCTTATTTTTTATAATTATATTTCTTTTGTCATTTTAATGTCTTAATATTTGTACAGCACCGTGGTCAACATTGTGTCATGTTGTGCTTTATAAATAAATTGGAATTGGAACCATCCAGATGATACGGAGATGCCAGGGCCATTGTGGGGACAAGAACAAATCCACTGCAGAGAATCTGGGAAGAGATTTGCACTCCTCTGGAAAATATGACTCACAAGGGGTTTGTTTGGAGATACTCTTAGCTCACGAGACGAGATGATGCATGATATTGGGTTCACAAGATCGAGACAAGGCGATATTTTTGAGAAACACTATATTTAAGGAATCTTCAATGACAAAATATGACTGAAAAATACTCTTTTATTTGACTGAAAGTCACAAAATGCCAAAATAATACAGGTGAAATTTACCTATCATTTAACTAATATAGGGCTTTCACTAACAATTATATTAGTAATCGAGTAATTGGTTAATTACTTTGGACATTTAATTAAGCAATTGGTTATTGTTTTATGGTAATAAAATAGACCTAAGTGACCAATAGCCTTTAAAATGACCTAAAATACATTAGGCTATAATAATTGGTATCAAAAGTAAGTAATTTTATGATTTATTGAACAGCACCATAGTTGTTGTTGTTGTTACACTTTATAGCATGATCAAATACTTGTTTAATATTGACTAAACGATATTATGCTGCCTTAATGTGCTATCGGAATTATCATAAATAGCCTACTAGTTTTAGTTAAAAAAAATGGACATGAACGCCTTCTCAGTCAAAATTGAATCCGATGAGCTCGTAATCACGACTTCAGAAGTGGGAAGTTGGAAATTTACCACAGCGCGTGAAGGTAGTATTAATTGAAATGTTTACTTAATCTTTAATATTTGGCCATTTTACGATAGAAAATTTCTTGAACAAGAATATGTTAAAATAAAAACATTTCCCGTATTTGGAAACATACTGTTGTATTCTCCTTTGTTAGTCCAATTTTAATTATTATGTAGCCTTTGAAAATGATCTAAAAAATAATAATAGCTATATAAATAATAAATAATTCTAGTCCATGGAATTCGCCACTTTCTTATTTATTTAATTTAACCCTGATTTAATTGAGGAATCACAATGGCCCTACACTAATCATCTTGTATTGAATGTCACTTCCGTTCTACCTTCTAAATATGAATAATCATAAAAGACAGGACAATATAGTGCAAACACAGTAAAAGTTTTAGCCACAAACTCAACTTACCCATGCCGATATAGCAAGATAGCTTTTAAACATAACAAGAAATATCGTCACCTTTTAATATCGTGAGATCTCGATTCACGAGTATGTCGAGATCTTGTCATAACTCTCCAACTCAAAACTATTCTGGAAATTAAATCTGTACAAAGTTGTATAAGAAAAGTGCCTTTAATTTCTTGCTCAAGCATATTCAAAGAAGCCCGTCTTAACCTCATCTTAATGAGCTCAGAGGGCAAATCTCCCAGCTTCTCACAAGGCATGTTGTGTAACTTTTCACACATAAATGTGTGCCTAAGAGCATTTCATGTTCTTGCATTCTGTTCATGCTATTTTTTTGTTATTCCAGCATGTTGTTCAGGCAGAATGAAGCGCAATGAATGCTGTGCTTCCTAAACAGAAGATGAGCAGCATTTAACTGGGCAGCTGTTTTGCTCATATTTTGTGCTGCACTCATGTACATACACACACAGTTATCACAATACAAGCGCTTTTTTATGTTCACTTATGTCAGAACCTTTCCATCCTTGAAAAATATACATCTGCTTTGAAAAGTTCAACACGCACATTGGCTATGCTGCTCACATCTCTTATCTTTTGTACTCTCCTGATCCTGTTCAGAAGCGTGAAAAGCGCTTCTTGGTTCTTTTGTATCTCTTGAAGCTTAATATGCAGGACCACTCCGTCCATTGCCGAATTATAAAATAAGAACTAATTCCAGTCTAATCTTTGTAATTCCATTCACTCGTGTTTATGTGTGTCTCTGTAGGAGATTACTGCAAGGTGAACCTGTGTCATAATGGAGGGACGTGTGTGACCGGCATTGGAGAAGATCCGTTTTTCTGCATCTGTGCCGAGGGATTTGCTGGAGATACTTGCAATGCCACTGAGAATGGTCAGAGTTTGAAATGTTGTTTATCTGAATTTTACTGGTTTAATCCTCATTTAAATTTCAGATTAGGTTTAAATGGGTCACCCTATTGCCTGTGGAAAACCTTATTGCTCAGAACAAAGGTGGCTCTTTCATAGCTTAGGAGAAGAAATCTTTTCGGTTGCTTTTCATTTGAGTAACAACTTTGTCTCAGATACTGTATGTCATAAAATTGGTCATTGGAATCAGGAATTCAGATCTCTGCTGAAATGGGGAGACGATCACATTACTCTTGTACTCAGATGAAAAATATGAGATACATGGGCACAAATCATCATTTGCTCTCATTTAAATCTCATTGCTGTCTAGGAGAAACAATTAAAGATCACCTTTTTTCTATGTTCATATTGTGAGACTCAAATCAGAACATACTCTTGTTTTCCTTAACAGGTCCTTGTAACCCAAACCCATGTAAAAACGATGGCACATGCGAGGTGATCGTTAACACCAGAAGAGGAGACGTTTTTAATGAGTATGTGTGCAAATGCCAACCTGGGTTTGAAGGTGTACACTGCCAAATCAGTAAGTTTTGTGCCACTTATTTCAGATTTACAACAAGCTTTGTCAGTATCTATTGCACTAAATAACTCTATAATGATCACTCTAATGGGCTAATGAATGGTTTTAGAAGGATGTTTGTATAAAACCTCAAAAGTAAAGCTTCAAATGCTGAACAAAACATCTACTAAAATTAAATGATCGCACACATTGGGACTTCATAGCAGAACAAATTTCTGTGTAAATATGATAATACTAGTGTATTGAAAGCGCCAACTTTATCACAATGATTTGGTGAGTTTCTGTTCATGGTCTATGGGTAAGTCTGTGTAATGCGGTTAATTCGTTTTAAGACTTTTCTCCTACATGGCGCATATTCTTGTTGCTGCAAGTTCACAGCAAAGAGACTTCAGTTACTGCATTCCGTATTATTTGTTTCATTGATATAATGTGTATGTATAGGCTATATGTGTATCTTTAATGTGTGGTGCTGTACTGTACATACAATGGCACTGGTGTAAACACCAGACACACCCAGGATGTTGAGCAGTCAGTGGTAGACAGGGCGTGCTGTAACCATAGTGAGTTTTAAATAGGCTTTGTTAAAATGTTCCAGTCCACAGTCCCTTTCCATGTATGGTTTTAACTCTTTGCTGCCTGATGTCCACTAGAGTTGACACATCTTTTAAAGCCATTTTAACCATTCAAATTATGCGGAGACATCTAAACTACCATCACACAATGTCAGAATTACCGTTACCAACTAAGAGATTCTGACTTGTAAAAAGCATTCACGTCTTTGTAGAATCATATTTACAAATTGTACCACCTAACCATTGCAACATCATGTGGAAACAAAATGTATTAAGCCATTATTTAAACATATTTTGGTTATAATTCCAATAATTGACTATTTTTATGCAAGGATCAATAAATAAAAGACATGCAACACAGT